TTCTCTCACTATTTGGGTCTTCTCTGCAATGGATATGGCAGAACAATCCTGTGCTGGGTTCCTTAGAAGTTAAGTTTAAGCTCGGTGGGATCAACTCTCCGATGTCGCTTTGATCTCCTTTCTAGGTAGTACGGACATAACCTGCCTTAAACACCTACAAAGTAATGCCTCCACCTTCATTACTTGGGTTTGGATGGGAATATTTTAATAAACGCAAAAAATAATCCTTAGAATGTGTTCTTTAACCACCACTATTCACTTTCCCACATAATCACCAGACAATTGGATACGTTTCTGCCAACGACGAACAAGTTTTCTGAAGCCGTCACAGAAGAAGTCGACACTCTGTTTTGCAACCTTGTCTCACAGTTCTCTCATCCTGGGTACCCATCGTGCACAGATCTTCCGATAGCCAAGCAAAGCAATAATGTGACCTACACGTTCTCATGAAACAGTTCTCTCAACATCTTCATCAGAAGCATAATGATGTCCCCGCAAATCATTATTGGGAGCAGATGGAAGTCAGACGGTGCTAAATCTGGACGGTATGGAGGATGTCGTATGGTGGTGAAATCCAATCTCTGAAATTTCAAGTCTGTGCTCTTTCGTTTCAGGCGTCAGCATCCTGGGGACCCATCGTGCACAGATCTTCCGATAGCCAAGCAAAGCAATACCACTATTCACTTTTCCACATAACCACCAGACAATTGGATACATTTCTGCCAACGACGAACAAGTTTTCTGAAGACGTCATGGAAGAAGTCGACACTCTGTTTCCGCAACCAGCCTCTCACAGTTCTCCCAACGTCTTCATCAGAAGCATAATGATGATCCCACAGATCTTCTTTCATTGCTGGGAACAGATGGAAGTCAGACGGTGCTAAATCTGGACTGTGTGGAGGATGTCGTACAGTGGTGAGATCCTGTCTCTGAAGTTTCAAGTCTGTGTGCTTTCATCCTGGGTACCCATCGTGCACAGATCTTCCGATAGCCAAGCAAAGCAATACCACTATTCACTTTCCCACATAATCACCAGACAATTGGATACATTTCTGCCAGGGATGAACAAGTTTTCTGAAGTTGTCAGGGAAGAAGTTGACAATCTGTTTCCACAACCAGCGTCTCACAGTTCTCTCATTCTGGGTACCCATCATGCACAGATCTTCCAATAGCCAAGCAAAGCAATACCACTATTCACTTTCCCAGTGTACCTATCCGAACGTATCTCCTTCTACGTCCCACCTAGGAATTTAAGATCTTCTGGAGGGGGCCTGCTCTTGGCCCTGCCCTTGTCACAAACCAGATTGGCGGGGACGAGGGACAGGGCCTTCTCGGTGGTGGCCCCCTGCCTGTGGAATTCACTTCCCGGGGAAATTAGATCATCGTCATCCCTCCTCTCTTTCAGAAGGAAATTAAAAACATGGATATGGGACCAGGCCTTTGGATAATCTGTCAGACTGACAAGGACAATGACGACTAAAGCTTTGGAAACGGACTATGATATGCGGAATGAATTTATTAATTACGGACTTGGCAAAACGATGGCCACCAGGCTGGCATTTTAGTGTATTTTTATTGTATTAATGTAATGTTTTAGCTGTTATAATTTATTGTTACTATGTATTTTACTGTATGAATTGTAGGCATCAACGTATGCCAGTTGGAAGCCGCCCTGAGTCCCCCTTCGGGGGTTGAGAAGGGCGGGGTAGAAATACCCCAAATAAATAAATAAATACATAAATAAAATAATCACCAGACAATTGGATTCATTTCTGCCATAAATGAACAAGTTTTCTGAAGCTGTCACAGAAGAAGTCGACACTCTGTTTCGCAACGTTGTCTCACAGTTCTCTCATCCTGGGTACCCATCGTGCACAGATCTTCCGATAGTCAAGCAAAGCAATAATATGACTCACACGTTCTCGTGAAATGCCGATTATGCTTGACATTTCTCTCTGAGTGATACGACAATCGTCCCGAATCAATCTGTCAACCTTTTGCTTGTGAAACTTGGTGGTTGCTGTCACAGGACGTCCAACTCTTTGTTTGTCACACAAGTCAGATGTTCCCACCTCAACATCTTTAAACTTACTCACCCAATGACACACAGTACTCACATCAACACAATCACAAAAAAACAGCTTGCAGGTTACAGCCTGTGCTGGATGGGGTCACACTGCCCCTAAAAACACAGGTACGCAGTCTGGGAGTTCTCCTGGATTCATCGCTGAGCCTGGAACCCCAGGTTTCAGCGGTGGTCAGGGGAGCATTTGCACAATTAAAACTTGTGCACCAGCTGTGTCCGTACCTTGGGAAGGCTGACTTGGCCACGGTAGTACACGCTTTGGTTACATCCCGCTTAGATTACTGCAGTGCTCTCTACGTGGGGTTGCCTCTGAAGACTGCCCGGAAGCTGCAGCAAGTCCAAAGCGCGGCAGCCAGACTACTAACGGGTGCTGGGTACAGGGAGCACACCACTCCGCTGTTACTCGAACTCCATTGGCTGCCGATTAGCTTCCGAGCACAATTCAAAGTGCTGGTGTTAACCTATAAAGCCGTAAACGACTCCGGCCCTGTTTACCTCTCCGAACGTATTCTCCCCTACGAACCATCAAGACCACTAAGATCGTCTGGAGGGGCCCTGCTCTCGGTCCCACCGCCTGCACAAGCACGGCTGGTGGGGACGAGGGACAGGGCCTTCTCGATGGTGGCCCCTCGACTTTGGAACTCCCTGCCATTAGAGATCAGAACTGCCCCCTCCCTCATGACGTTCAGGAAACTAACAAAGACCTGGTTGTGGAACGCGGCATTTGACAACTGATTTAATTCTTTGCCCACATGAAAGGAGGATGATGAATGGGATTGTGATGGTGTTGGACGATTTGGCTCTTTTAACTGTGATGATAATGTTTTAATGTGTATGGTGCTGATATTTTAATCGTGTTATGAAGTGGCATTGTGTTGTTATTGTATATTCTTTGTATGTTAACACATGTTGTGAACCGGTCCGAATCCCTCTTTGAAGGTGAGAGGGTCGGTATATAAAACCTCGAAATAAATCATAATAAATAAATAATTCTCTGATGAATCTCCTTTGGGGTGACACCTTCTGCTGTCAAGAATTCAATGACTGCACGTTGCTTAAGTCACATTGACCGACCGTCTGCGCAGCGTTCCATACTTTGCACTTTAACAACACAACCATTCAATGCTAAGGCTTCCCGCCGAAACTGTAGAGGAGAGTCTACTGAACAAGCCAGTACCTGCCGCATACCAGCACTGCCATCTGTTGAGGAGTTACGAAGGTGGAGGCATTACTTTTCATTCAATCCTTGCACATCAGAGACATATACAGACATTTATAACTGAACCCTGCAACAAACAGATATAAGATACCAGCATCATTGCCTGGTGGCCGAAGGTGTGATATTAAACATAAATATAAATATATGCCAAGAACGTTATATATATATGTGTGTGTGTATGTATAGATAGATAGATAGATAGATAGTAGGTAAAGGTTTTTCCTTGACATTAAGTCCAGTCCTGTCCGACTCTGGGGGTTGGTGCTCATCTCCATGTCTAAGCTGTCTGTAGACACCTACAATGTCATGTGGCCAGCATGGAGCGCCGTTACCTTCCTGCTGGAGCAGTACCTATTCATTTACTCACATTTGCATGTTTTCAAACTGCTAAGTTGGCAGAAACTAGGGCTGACAGCAGAAGCTCATGCTGCGCCCTAGATTCGAACCTGTGACCTTTCGGTCAACAAGCTTAGCAGCTCAGTGGTTTAACCCACTGTGTCACCGGGGGCTCCTATATCGGGCAGATGGCAAGTTATTTAACCTCAGCAGAGTGAAAGCCGAAACCAAGGTAACAACATCTGTTATAGAACTCCAATATGCTGATGACAATGTCATCTGTGCACATCCAGAAGACGTACAACATCTGTTATAGAACTCCAATATGCTGATGACAATGTCATCTGTGCACATTCAGAAGACGTACAACATCTGTTATAGAACTCCAATATGCTGATGACAATGTCATCTGTGCACATTCAGAAGACGTACATCTGTTATAGAACTCCAATATGCTGATGACAATGTCGTCTGTGCGCATTCAGAAGACGTACAACATCTGTTATAGAACCCCAATATGCCGATGACAACATCGTCTGTGCACATTCAGAAGACCTACAACATCTGCTATAGAACTCCAATATGCTGATGACAATGTCGTCTGTGCGCATTCAGAAGATCTACAGCATCTGCTATAGAACTCTAATATGCTGATGACAACATCATCTGTGTGCATTCAGAAGAAGGAATGCCTTCATCTCAAATTTAAATTTTTTTCCTTGGAGGATCAACAAGGTGTAGGTGTTATGTCTAGTATGCTGATGACAACGTCGTCTATGCGCATTCAGAAGACCTCCAAGCCACTCTAAACACCTTCGCAGAATAATAGGAGAAGCTCGGCCTGTCATTGAAGCATATATATGTATCTATATGCTTCCTATATCTCATATTTACACCTGCCATAAATGCAGGAGAGAATGCTTCTGGAAGTTGGCCAGACAGCCCGAAAAACTTACAGAAATCTAGAGTTGGGGGACTATTTCTCGAGGCGGATGGATGGGCGGAAGGAGATAATTGAGAGGAACTGTATGTATTGCGCATGCGCAGGTGGCCCCCTCAGCCGGATCTTATTTTCCTCTCTTTCATAACAAGGGGGGAAATAGGGGCGGAGCCAGAATAACGGCTCTGGCGGAGAAGGAGCGTGGCGTCGAGGGCGTCGATTTGCATAGCCGAGGCAGTTGGTGGAGATGGGCGGGGGGCGTGGCTTGGGAGGCGGCGGGGGCGTGGCTTGGGAGGCGGCGGGGGCGTGGCTTGGGAGGCGGCGGGGGCGTGGCCTCCGTAGCGGTTGGGAAAGGCAGGCGTCTCGCGAGAGGAGGCGGAGCCCAAACTCGGAGGCCTTAAGCGGTGCCCTCCTGGCAGGGAAGGGAGGGGCTGGGAGGGAAGGAAGGGAAGCGAGGAGGGCCAAAAAGCCTCCGCCTCGGCTGGTTGGAGAGGCTCTGCCGCACTGACAGGAAAGAGTCAATAAGGGGAGAGACAGGTAACAGGATGGATGGCGTCGAGGGCGAGGTTGCCATGGGGAGAGGAGGCCCGCTGCTCCTGCCTCCTCGAGTCCCCCACCATCTCTGAACAGGTTCCAAGAGTCCCCTGTGGTGTTGGGAAGAGCTTTCCCATGCCTTCAGGCCTCTCCCCCCCCCTCTCCACTCGGGCCTGGTTTGGGCCTGGTTTGGGCCTGGAAGGCCCTCGAGCCATGGCAGTCAGTCAAGGCTGGAAAGAGAAAGGAGGGAAGCGAAAAGTTCCCCTTACCTCTTTCCCACCCTATTTCCCTGCCTATTTGCAGGACTGGGGGTGGTTAACAATAATAATAATAATAATAATAATAATAATAATAATAATGACAGTAATAATAATTGGTTCGTATTTTATTATATTACTAGCTATACTCGCCACGCATTGCTGTGGTCAGCCTTCCCTCCATCTTTCTCTCCTTTTCTTCTCTCCTTCCTTCCTTCTCTTTCTTTCCTTCTTTCCTTACCACTTCTTTCCTTCCTTCCCTCCTTCCTTCCTTCCCTCCCTTTCTTTCCTTCTTTCCCTTTCTTACTTCAATGACACTACAAATTAATTAAATGTCTGTAAGTATCTACTTAATTCCTCCATATTCAATTCCTTAAGTTAAATCATATTTGATGTACATTATTCATATAAGAAGTATAGCTATTACGTAACTAAAAGTTTGAATTCATTCAATGAAAATTGTATAATTACTCCCTCTTCATAGTTCCCTTCCATTTCTTCAATTCCCTACCCTTTTTCATACTTCATACACTTATTACACTTACCTAACTAGTTCTTAAATTAATTGCAATCCTTCATTCAACTCATTTTTCCTTCCTCCTTTTTCTTCATTTCTTCCCTTCCCTTCCTTCTTCATTCCTTCTTTTTAATTACGAAATACAATTTCGTACAATGTAATCATATTTACTTTCCTTACTTTCCTTATCATTCCATCACTTTTTAATTCTCTACTTCCTTCCATTCCCTCCCTTTCCTTCCTTCCTTTCTTTTCTTCTTCCTCCCTTCTTTTTTCCTTCCTCCTTCTCTTCCCCTCTTCTTCCTTCCCCCTTCTTCCTCCTTCCCTCCTTCTTTCCTTCCCTTCTTCTCTTCCTCCTCTTCCTCCCTCTCTTCCTCTTTCTTCCTTCTCTTCTCCTCCTCTTTCCTCTTTCCTTTCTTTCTTCTCTCTTCTTTCCCTTTCTTCCTTCTCTCCTCCTCCTCCCTCTTCCTTCCTTCTGTCCCTTTCTTTCCTTCTCTTCTTCCTTCCTTTTCTCCCTCTTTCCTTTTTTCCTTCCTTGCCTCCTCTCTCCTTCCCTCCCTCCTCCTTCCCTCCCACTTTCATTCCTTCTCCCTTCTTTCTCTCCTCCTTCCATCCCTCTTTCCTTCCTTCCTTCCTCTTCTTCCCTTCCTTCACTTATTTATTTATTTATTTCTTGTACTTATTGACCGCCACTCTCAGCCCTAGGGGCGACTCGTGGCGGTGAACAGCAACATAAAAGACAGCATACAAAATTTACAACAATACATCACAAACTACTACTACGACATATACTTATGCTAAAAATCCGCTTCGTCTAATCCTGGGGTCATAGCCAAATTCGTAGTCATAGTCCGTTCTAACGTCTTTCCACAGATACACTTAGTTGAAGGCCTGCTCGCAGAGCCAGGTTTTCAGGCTCCTACGAAAGGCCATCAAAGAGGGCGCCTGTCTAACCTCAACAGGGAGGGTGTTCCACAGCCGGGGAGCCACCACCGAGAAGGCCCTCTCTCTCGTCCCCGCCAGACGTGCCTGCGAGCAGGCGGGACCGAGAGAAGAGCCTCCCCGGAAGATCTCAAGGCCCTCGTGGGCTCATAGGCCGAGATGCGGTCTGCAAGGTATTTTGGGCCGGAACCGTTTAGGGCTTTGTAGGCTAACACCAACACCTTAAATTGGGCCCGGTAGCAGATCGGCAGCCAGTGGAGCTGGGACAGCAGGGGCGTAGTACGCTCTCTGCGTCCTGCTCCTGTTAATAACATGGCTGCCGCGCGTTGGACTAGCTGAAGCTTCCGGGCCGTCTTCAAGGGCAGCCCCACGTAGAGAGCGTTGCAGTAGTCGAGGCGGGATGTGACCAAAGCATGTACCACCGTGGCCAAGTCCGGCTTCCCAAGATACGGGCGCAGCTGGCGCACGAGCCTAAGCTGTGCAAATGCTCCCCTGGTCACCGCTGAGACCTGGGGCTCCAGGCTCAGCGATGAGTCCAGGGTCACACCCAAGCTGCGAACCTGCGCCTTCAAGGGGAGTGCGACCCCGTCCAGCACAGGCTGTAACCCTATACCCTGTTCGGCCTTGCGACTGACCAGGAGTACCTCTGTCTTGTCTGGATTTAATTTCAGTTTGTTCGCCCTCATCCAGACCATTACAGCGGCCAGGCACCGGTTCAGGACTTCGACAGCCTCCTTAGTAGCAGGTGGGAAGGAGTGACAGAGTTGGACGTCATCTGCGTACAGGTGACACCGCACCCCGAAACTCCGGATGATCTCACCCAGCGGCTTCATGTAGATGTTAAACAGCAGGGGGGACAAGATGGAACCCTGAGGAACGCCACAGGTCAACGGCCGTGGCGCTGAACAGGAGTCCCCCCATAACACCTTCTGGGTACGACCCTCCAGAAATGATCGGAGCCACTGCAGCGCAGTGCCCCCGAGACCCATCTCCGCAAGGCGCCCCAGAAGAATACCGTGGTCGACGGTATCGAAGGCCGCTGAGAGGTCCAGGAGCACCAACAGGGACACACTCCCCCTGTCTAGCTCCCGGCGCAGATCATCCACTAAGGCGACCAAGACCGTCTCGGTACCATGTCCCGGTCTGAAACCAGACTGTGCCGGATCCAGATAATCCGTGTCTCTCAAGAATACCTGGAGTTGTGAGGCCACCACGCTTTCCATGACTTTGCCCAAGAAGGGAAGATTGGAAACAGGCCGAAAGTTGTCCAAATTAGTGGGGTCCAGTGATGGTTTCTTCAACAGCGGCTTTATAACAGCCTGTTTTAGGCTCGCTGGAATCTTGCCTTCCCGGAGGGAGGCATTAACCACCACCGTTACCCACTCGGCCAATCCCCCTCTGGCCTCCTTCAGAAGCCAGGATGGGCAGGGGTCTAGGATGGACGTGGTAGGTCTCATTCCTCCAAGTATCTTGTCCACATCCTCGGGTTTCACAAACTGAAAAGAATCCAACAAAATCGGACAAGCAGGTGCTCGTGTCACATCCACAGAGACTGCATTTAATGTGGCGTCCAGCCCAGAACGGATCAAAGCGACTTCAAGACTCGTGTTCTTCCTTCCCTTCTTACTTAACTCAATATGTCATTGACTTACCTTCTGACTTACATAACACTGGGGACTGAATAGACATAAACATGTTCTTACAGTTAATAACCAACCTAGTTTCTCTAAGGGCAAAAACAAAATACGGGTAGCTCCTTTGGAGCAACCCAAAACACACTTTCTTCCTTGTTGTGGTGGATTACTTACTGTAGTTCTTTATTTATTGATTTCTTTCATATCAAGTGGAATTCAAAGAACAGTATGTAAACATTATGTAAACTGCATTCGCATTGTCTTCCTTCCATTTCTTCTTCCTTCCTCAATCGTCCCTCTTTCCTTTTCCATACTTAATTCATTCCCTTTCTTTCACGTATATTACTTCACTCCCTCTTTCCTTCCTCCTTCCGCTTCTCTTCCAATTCATTCCTTTCACTTTGGCCTTCGTTCAATCCATACTCTTCCTCATTCCATCCCTTCTTTACAGTCTCCTCAATCCCTCCCTAACTTCCTTCATTACTTCCCTGTCAGTAATTCACGTGCAAATCCACTCATATCAATACAGACCTACCACATCTTTTCATTCTTCCTTCCTTCTCTCTTTCCTTCCTTCTTCCCTTCCTTTCTCTGTTTCCCTGTCCCTCTTATTCATACAAACCATGGTTGTTCATTATGTCCTTAAATGAAAGTGCATTCTATCATTATCCTCCATCTTTCCTTTCTTTCTTTATTTCTTCTATCTTATCCTGGCGTCCACTACCCTCGTAACATTAAACTCACATCCATACATACTTCCATCCCTCTTTCCTCCTTCTTCCTTTTTCCTTCCTTCCTCCTCTTTCCCTTTTTCTTCTCTCCCTCCTTCCCTTTCTTCCTTCTCTCCTTCCCTCCTTCTTTCCTTCCTTCTGTCCCTTTCTTTCCTTCTCTTCTTCCTTCCTTCTCCCTCTTTCCTTCCTTACCTTTCTTTCCTTCTCTCCTTCCCTCCCTCCCTCCTTCCATCCATTATCCATTCGTCCCTTTCCTTCTCTCCTTCCTTCCTCTTCCCTTTCATCACCCCCACCTTTTCTTTCCCTTCCTCTTTCTCCTCTTTCTCTCTACCTATTCTTGGACTGCCACTCCCAGCAGTCCTCCTGATCAATCTACCTATCTATCTCTATCTAATCTATCTATCTCGAGGATTTCTGGGAGTTGCAGTCTAGGAATAGCAAATTGGAAATATGCAGAGATTGGGATGCTCTCAAAGAAATCCAAGGAGATGAAAGCTTGCAGCTTGGAAGCAGTGCATTTGGATCCTCCTCCTCTCCTAAAGGGCCTGATCTAGGGAATGCTGGGAACTGTAGTCTGAAAGAGAATGTGGATATGCTTTTGTGTTTTTTGTTTGCCAGATGGAGTCGTTTTGCGCATGTGCTGTAGCGTCTTTTTGCTTTTTTGGAGTTTTAAGTCCCTTCTGTTGTGCGTGCAAACTTTATTGATTAGTCCACTGACCGTATCAACATTAAAGACAAAAACAAAAACGTACACAAATAGACAATAATCACTATCCGAAGACTCCCATAATAGTTAACTAACGTGCATTCAAACTTGATTAAGTTAAAAGGTGTCATCATTAAAATGCCATGGTAAAATGTCTTGCTTCGTAATCCCCTTCTGTTGTGTTTTTCAGTGTTTTTAGGAGTGATGGTCACTTGT